AATATCTCGCTTGTTATTCGCCAGTTACCAGTCGAAATGCTCGAACGAGTCCTCGAAAATTGGACTCTACGGATAGACCATCTGAGACGTAGCCGCGACCAACATTTGAAAGCGATAATCTTCAAAAATTAAATGCCACAAAGTGATCTTTCGAATGATAATAAACCTCGAAATGGATCACTCGTCAGGACCTCATTTACCACCAAAACGTATCGATAATACGACTCTATTTGATTTAGGTGAAATAGGAAATGAGAAAGAGAGAGAAAAATCTGATATATTTTTAATTTTTGCCAACGCTGATATTCATCCACCATTAAGCAGTTATTTGTTGTGAGAACAAACGAAGATTATCCACCATAAAATGTAGGTCTAGGAAATCCCGTTTCCAAAGCAATGCTTAAACATTATTTATTTTCGTTTTATGGACTATAATTGAGCGCTAAGCCCGCTTATCACTGGCAAATTGCATAAAATACTTAATGCATTGAGTGAGTTGCAAACTGAATGCTATGATTAAGCTCACTAGCTAACATTAAATATACTACAAAAACGAATAAGCCTTGTGCGAAGGATATCTGGTAGTCATTTTAACCGAATTAGCCTTAGAGTTGTTGTATTTCAATGCACATACCCATGAATATTTATTAATTATTCTCGTTCACCAATTTTGAAAGCAGCACTTAGCTCTAATAATTGTTATCAATGTAACTATCTTGAACTGTTAACTTCTAATATGACTTTATTGCAGCTTTTACTTACAGAAGCAAATATTTAAAATTTAATCGTATTACCTTTGATTTATTGCATACACTTTTGGTTATAGATCAGCAAGAGGAGCATTGCTATGAACATAGGAATTATTACTTCTAAGCCACTTCTGGGTGATTGTATCTTTGTGTGCTGAAGCCAAATCTTGTTGCAAGATCCAATACTCTCCATTAATGAGATTATCACACCTTCTAAAACGTGAAACCACAATTTTGCGCCAGTTTTAACCCCTTTTGCAAAGACGCGAAAAGTTGTAACGCCTTTACTGAAGACTCAACATCAAACCATTACAGCAGCTGGATGGATACAAAGTTCCCTAGATTTTGTTGTTTTGCTTATTAAAACCTACTTTCAGGGCCGTTGGCCGCAAATCACTTAAAACACCGGTTGCACCTGTTTTTAGCCCTCCACGATAGGCTTTCACCTGGAGATCATTATGAATATGTCTTGTCATTGATAAGGTCGATATATAATTTTCCCTTGACATAAATTGATGTTTTCAAAGGGAATTTCTGCCAATGCGTTTGCGAAAAATTTGTATAGCTAAGTTGGTTTGAATCGGGCGCGGACGAACACTTCTCTTTCTGTCACTGAGCCTACTATATCAGAGCTAGTGGGTTCGAATAAAGATGCTGGAGTATTTGGTCGCACGCTCTTTCCTCAAAAACGACTACATTGATGATCCTCAAAGACCCTGCTTTTGTAATGGTTATCCAGTCTCCATTAGGATGGTAAGGTTCATATAAGTTGTCGTCGAAATCATCCAACGGGATTCCCAGAAAATGTGCTATTTCGACTTTGGGCGGATCATAGGGGGGGGTTATCTCAGATTGTTGGATTAGCTGGGCATGCGAAGAGTTGGTTAGTGTTAGATGGAGTCTTTGCCTGCTGCACATATATTTATATAAGTATAAGTTTAACCAGCAATCTGTGGCAACACAAGCTCGTCGTCTGCAATGGGTAGTGGTTTGACTCCAACTACGTCATTCACTGAGAGGGAGTCGGTGAATGTGTTTATGGTACTACTGTGAATGGCGGTCAGTGTAGGTCTGAAGTTATTGGCGTCCGAAGTCTGGTCGTTGTTACGTCTTATGTCATCGGCATAGTTGAGGTGGGACCTCTTAATGCTCCTGACAGGCGTTTCCGTTGATAAAGGAATGATTTCTACGAAAGCACCACAGTAGGAACTGCTTGGAGAGGATTTCAATCTTCTTCTTATAGCCGAGTTAACAACAGCGCACCAGTCGTTTCTTCTTCTCGCTACGTGGAGTTCATTATGTCCCTTAAATGCGAGCATGCGGGCTTCACTGTACAGATGTTCGATAGGAGACATCAAGAGACATCCCGTTGTAGTCCAAAGTGCAGTGCTCTGACATGTCTGTAGCTTCCTAGTCTGCCTTTCACTGCATCCACGCGACCAATTAGTGAAGCGTAGTAGAGGGATTTAAACTCTGCTGCAGAGATCAAAAATAGCAGTATTCCATCATAAGAATCTAAATTACGTAGTCTTTGAGAAATTCCATTCATATACATATTGTAGAATTTTGCCAAAACTAATATCTAAGAAATTATCGGAGCTCGATGATGAATAACGTCGATTCTGGGCCGAAGTCGTCTGGTAGAATTACTTTCAGTTAACATATAAAGAGGTATACCTATTCTGTATTTCTAATCCATCAAATGGCAAAATGTCAATGATGAAAATCAAAATGAAAAGCTTTTAAATGGTACACATGAGTTTTAGGTACAGATTCTCTGAAAGTTTACGAGAAAGCTTCTGAAAGTATCAAGCCTATAAAACATAATATTGTACATTTTTAAGTATAGGGTGAAGAAGTGGATCACTTCTGTTAGCTTTGGACCAGCCTTAAGCGCAGTCCACAGGACTATTGTGGATGGTCATAATTCAGTAGTGAAAACCAGTATTGCGTCTAAAGGACCAAATTTCGGTTCGACACAGTAAACAGCGTTGCATGCATTCACACTCATCCTATTTTTAGCATCATTGTCAGACAACAACTAAATTCCGGAAATAATTACAGCCGAACGATTGCATCTTACAATAATTTATGTAACAGCAACAAGTGCACACACACACACACTTACACACGTACATATTTTTTTTGTGAATATAAACAGTAGGTCAATTAATGTGTTGTGGTCGCACAAGTCCTTGCATGAAGTCTTCATAATTTCCTGCTTCGTCTGGCATTTTGTTTTTGTTTTTCGCTGGTAGATTTCCAATAAGCGCTTTAAAGACTTCACGCTGTTCGCAGACGAAAAGTTGTTTGTATGTACATATGTTAAAATATAATATTTATATAAAAGTAAATTATTGCCTCGCAGCCTTTCGGCAGAAGGCTAGCAGACCGATTGTGATTGTCATATTCAGCGATCATTGACACATTGACCCTGACGCAATGGCATATTAGCAGGTCTGAAATATTGCTTCGTAATATGTATATATATTCAAAGATATTTTCGTACAGCACAGCTTTATTGGGAGTTACTATTTTAAATCCTTCCGTGGTTAAGTGCTACTAATCGGGATGTCTTTCTCAAGACATTCTTGCACTTAAGTCTTATAGGTACCACTTGAATGCACCAGGATGTGTATGTAGGTGTGGACACTCGCCGATAGATTCCAATGTATCTACTTCATTACTTGCACCTTAGAAATTTTAAGAATGTATGTATCCAGTATGTATTAGTGTTATGATATCTAGTATCCGGCATTTCGTATCATATTTCGACAAGAGGTTTATTGGCGCTGATTGTGTTTAACTGCATTGCTAACACCAATCTGAAACCCGGAGCAGTCCGAAGTAGTAAGGAAACTCAACTGATCATTAACTCTGTCACGTTGTTTGATCGGAGGTTCAGTTCTAGTACAATTGGAAGCAAATTTCATTGAAGTACATTTTAAAATGCTCAGGCGCTACGAGCTTTGGTGAGTTTTGCCAAAATCGGAAAGAAAACAAAAACGTTTAGTTAAATATAGAACTACCTTACAACGAGACCCCGACTACTTTTAGATACATAATGGACAAATGTGTTATAGATATTTGTATGTGTAGCTAAGTCTCGTTGGAAACAGTCCCTGACTTTTTCGACAAGCATACACAGGTGGCATAAAAGGAATACTCAACAGGCCGCTCACAGCAACTATTGAAATTCAAGAAGAATGACATAAGAAGTTGTCGTCAAGGTCATCCAACGGTGGGTGCAGGAAACGTGCTGTTTTGACGGGGTCGGACCATAGGTAGAGAGGTGTCAGATATGTAGGGTTAACTCGGCATACAAAGAGGTGGTTAGTGGCATGTGGGGACTCGTTGAATCCTGTACATACATATATTTGATTGGTATATCGGGGCACTATTAGTATCGGGGTATAAGTAGGAGTTTAACCTGCTACAGTACCAGAACGATTCTTCGGGAACTTGAACTCGTCGTCTGCAATGGGTGGTGGTTTGTCTCCAAGTACACCAATTACTGAGCGGAAGTTGGTGAAGGTGTTCCACTGTGAATGGCGGACAGTGCATGCCTGAAGTTAGTTGTGTCCGAAGTCTGGTCGGCGTATTGTCTTATGACGTCGACGTAGATGAGGAAGGACATTTTGGTGACTGCAGGGATGATTACTATGAAGGGACCTCAGCTGAAACTGTTTGCAGAGAAGTTAATTATGCTCCTTAACCGGAAGCAGACTGAAGACATCAAGAAGCATCTCGTTGTAGCCCAGTGTGCAGTGTTCTGACATGTCTACAGCAACCAGACGATCATACTGATGCGGCGTAGTTAAGGACTAAAGGAGTCGCAAGCATCGGTCATGGTTCTCTAGACGATGTCTTAGAAGTTGCAAATTAACACTTTCCGAATTGATAATCTTCTTATTTTCTTCTTCTTTTGTTGAATACGTTTTCCTTTATATATATATTTTTTTAATATTTAACGGTTATGATAACTATTAATATCTAGTTAGGTTACAAATATAATAAAAGGTATATTTTCTTAAAAATTTTGCTTATTAGTGAATACCCTACTGGAAAGCATCTGTGACTAAAGCGACTTCTTACGGTTAATATTTACAATAATCACTGAACGCACTTTGTCACTTTTCTTTATGTCATATTCGTGCCATAAGTGTCCCCAGCAGATGTCGCGCTCAACACTTTTCATTCAATTCCGTATGCAATTCCAGCCAGTAAGCCAAAGCAGAATGAGTTTGTCCATCAAATATGGCGCTCGTGTCAAGTGTTTTTCTTTTATACATCGCTATTTTACCTGCTAAAAATTTGTGAAAAGTCCATTACAATATACAAAATAATTTGTGAAAAACTACTAAAAACGCGGCCGAAATAAGCGAGTACTTTGTGAGATTATGCGTAAAGTATTGATGTGTGAAATTATTGTGAAAATTAACAAATTTTAGGTGTTGAAACAAATGAGAAAAAAATTGCCAATGTAGCGATAAAATCGATTCATAAAGCCAATGGAGGAATATGAGAAAAGTGTGTGAAAGAAGAAGAAGCAAGAGCAAAAGTTCGCACAAAACAGCAGAAAAGTGATAGTTGTTGGTTTGGAACAGATGGGGCGTGGGGGGGGATGTGGTTTTCATTTTTTTTGTTGAAACGTTGTTTGGTTTAATTTTATGCGAAAGGTGAGGGGCAACAAGCTGCATTACACATCAATGATAGCAACAAAGAAGCAAAGTATAAAGCAATAATAAAAGAACGTGCAAAGAGAGGGGGAGAAAGTAAAACGATTTTGTGTATATGTGTACGCGCATACATATGTATGTATGTATTAGCACGAGTGACCATTGGGATTTGTGTGCGCTGTTTATGACTTTTCCCTCCACCCGCTCATACATATTTTAAGGCTTAAAGTCTTATTTTCGATAATATTTTATATTGCAACTATTTAGTAGGATGGTGGTGATGGCACTGCACTCGTGATATACATATTTTATTTGTCCTCAATGAAGATTGAGCTGCTCTGTGATATTTCCAGATACTAATGGAACAATTATAAATATACGCAAAAGTGTATAGTGTGCATTAAAAAGAAATTAAGTTGAAATAAAGTAAAAATTATAATTAATTAATGAATAATTCTCGGATTTATATATATTGATACTGTCTCTTATACACATCTAGATGTGTATAAGAGACAGAGTGTATAGTGTGCATTAAAAAGAAATTAAGTTGAAATAAAGTAAAAATTATAATTAATTAATGAATAATTCTCGGATTTATATATATTGATATTTTCTGGCAAGTCGGAAAACCGCATTATTCTTAACCCCATACGTAAATATACATATGTAGAGAATCGCACATGCAAATACATATAAACGCAAGGAGAAGTACCATGAATGTATATATGACGAATGCATACATCCAATCAACCTGCTTAAAAGAATTTACCTTGTAAATATTTTAGCGCCATGGTAATGAATGGGAAAACACTCTAATTTCAAGTAAATATTAGCACGAACTACGCCAGCTATTTATAATAAATTAAGGAAATATGCAGACAAAACGAATTGGGTGCTGGTGTTGACACGCGAACTGCGCACCTTGCTGCCAAAACGAGGACCTTAACGAAAACTCAAAACACGCTGCGGCAACAAAGTTTAAATTTCGTATTCGTTTTTCTAACCTGAACTGCACATAGCAGTGTTCGTTATAAATCAAGTCATCCATTATTAATGAGGAGACTTCTTGAAATTTAGTTGTAATTGTGATCACATTATTTTGTAAGTAATTTTTTTATTGCGCTTCTTTACAGTTTTCTATGTAGTTATATTTAGTATATAGTGTATAAGTATTCGCATAGTTTTAGTATGTGTTGTCTCCCCGTTTGGCACCACTTAACTCGATGAAATAATGTTTTTAATTTAATTGAAACCCCGTCCTGTTGACTCACAATCTAAATATTGTAAAACAAAAATTGTTAGGTTATTTGCTTGTCCATCATCATTAAAATCATAAAACAACGCGATATACGATATCCAATTTGGGTCGGCTTTATGCGCAAACCAGCACCATCGTTCCCACCATTCAACTGTGGGCGCTAATACACCTGATATTCGTGTGCTTTCGTTTGTGCGGCGCTGGTGTGCTATGCTCTTGAATGCCAATGAATGAATCCTCGCTTGCTTGTGGTACACACAGTTAGGAATTTTAATATATTATTCATTATACAAAATTCTATAAAGATCTTACTACTTACAAATTTACAGAGTGGTAGCAAAGTAAATCATGTGAATGTGTATGTGTATAATATAAAAAATAAGCAAATAAAGCACACTCGTATAAAAAAAAGTTATCTAAAAGAAACAAAATAAATAGAGTGAAGAGTGAATAAAACCAGCCACACAAAGTGTATGCCATTCAAGTTCTACTTGAGTTGTGCGAAATAGGAAAGGGCTGAAGGTGCGGCGCAGTGCTTAGAGAGCGCTTTGTGGCGCACATGAAGGAGAAGTTAATAAAAATTCGCTAGCTAGTTGTGAACGCGTCACAAGGCTCCCAACGCCGTCATTGTGACTGTTGTTTTGTTTTTTACCAACGTTGTGCGAACTGTTGTGTATGTACACTTTTATCGCGACCGTCATTCATAACGTCAACTTTGCTGTTTCCGTTCTCGTCAAAGTCGACAATACACGACACGTTGGAAAAAGGCATATTACTTTGAAACACGCTTAAGTGTAACTTTGGCCAAAGGATAACGTACTCCCACAGTGTAACTTTCTTAAAACAGGCATACTTCGTCGAACGACGTGGTTTTACGCGACACCAGTAAGCAACGCAACTCACAAACTTAAAAATTCGTTTCACGCCGGGATAGCACTTGTAAATAGCTCATATATACTAAGAGAAATATATACATAAAGGAATAGATTTACAATCGCCAGTATACACCATGTCAACTGATAAGATCAAAGTTGCTGTGAGGGTGCGACCCTTCAATCGTCGTGGTAAGTACAAACTACTAAACTATAAAGATTATCCATTATGTGGGCATTTATATATGCCTTTGTATTTGTAGAAAAATACGTAGATTATACATATGTATATTGCAATATAATGAACGCAACTACATAGCGGAATTCATTAACAAATTGTTTGGCATACTTTTATATATGCCCTAAAGGGAGACGGGAGTAAATATGTTTGTGTGTTGGCTTGTAGGCGATTGTGTATTGTTCGTGTGTGCAATATTTACACCATGAATAAGTTAAAGACTTGTCACGCTTAATTAGAATTCATAATTAAAGCTGATTTGCGTATATCACTTGTAATTTGCTGGGAGGACAAAAATGTTTACCTGTTCATAGATAATTAAGTCATAAAAAAGAGAAGCTAAAGGATCCCAAAAGTGTACGTAATTATAATGAGTGCTGAAATAGTCATTAAAAAGCGGTAAACTCATAAAATCAATCGATAAGGGAAGGGTGTTTTTAGTGTAATAGATAAGTAACAAGTGTGCGTAATAAAATACAGAAATTTTGTCGGGCAGACTGCTTTTTAAAGAATATATGTGTGTGTGACTTTATAAAAAGTCTCCCAGCTTTTGAGATATCGATTTGAAATTTCGCATTTTGTCCCCAATATAGTAATCGTTTGTCATAATCATTGTCATATAGTGGTCCACTATAGGATATAGTTGTCTTAAGAACTGACCGATCCAAGTTAACTCTTTTTTCATTTGACGAGATATCTTCATGCAATTTTTCACATATAATTGTTTTAGGCGACACCTCAAACTTCGATAAAATTTTTTAGAACCGACCGCTCTAGCAAACATATATGTACATACCTATGTAGTTGCCCATGAAAAAGAAGGTGTTTTCATTATATGAGAACAAGTAAGGAAGGGCTAAGTTCGGGTGTCACCGAACATTTTATACTCTCGCATGATAAAGTGATAATCGAGATTTCATTATCCGTCATTTACATATTTTTTTATTTTGCTGTAAATTAATTAGATTAGATCAATTTGTGTACTTTGAGTATTGAATTGTATTTTCATTTATTTTAATTGCATTGAAAAGTTATAGCCCGATCACGACAATTTTTCCATAAGGGATACCTCAGCTCAAATACCGTATTTGTGTAAAGTTTTATTCCGCTATCATCATTGGTTCCTAATATATATATTATACAGAGAAGGCATCAGATGGAATTCAAAACAGCGTTACATTGGAAGAAACCGTGGTTCTGAACCGATTTCACCCATATTTCGTACATGTCATCAGGGTGTTAAGAAAATATTTCATACCGAATTTTATTGAAATCGGTTGAGTAGTTCCTGAGATATGGTTTTTGGTCCATAAGTGGGCGTCGCCACGCCCATTTTCAATTTAAAAAAAAAGCCTATGTGCAGCTTCCTTCTGCCATTTCTTCCGTAAAATTTAGTGTTTTTGACGTTTTTCGTTAGTCGGTTWACACACTTTTAGTGATTTTCAACATAACATTTGTATGGGAGGTGGGCGTGGTTATTATCCGATTTCTTCCATTTTTGAGCTGTATATGAAAATGCCTGAAGGAAACGACTCTATAGAGTTTGGTTGACATAGCTGTAGCAGTTTCCGAGATATGTACAAAAAACTTAGCAGGGGGCGGGCCCACGCTCACTTTTCCAAAAAAATTACGTCCAAATATGCCCCTCCCCAATGCGATCCTTTGCGCCAAATTTCACTTTAATATCTTTATTTATGGCTTAGTTATGACACTTTATAGGTTTTCGGTTTTCGCCATTTTGTGGGCGTGGCAGTGGGCCG